ATGATCCCAGGGTCCTGGGATCGAGTCCCGCATCGGGCTCCCTGCTCAGCGGGAAGCCTGCTTCTCCCTCTCCCACTCCCCCTGCTTGTGTTCCCTGCTTTTACACTCTCTCTCTCTGTCAAAAATAAATAAAATCTTAAAAAAAAAAAAGTCTGAGCTGCAGGCCTGGCGACTGGAGCCAGCAGTGAAGACTACAAGATTATCATCGACTACCACCAAGCAGGGCTTTGTGTTTTCCCAAGGCTCTCGGATGGTCAGAGCTCCATGCCACTCGGGCCACTTGACCCAATGCTCCCTCTTTCAGATACATTTAAAGCAAACTTCCAGTTCACCCCAGAGCCATATTGCATGGGCTGTTTGGGTTTGAACTGGGGCGGCAGTGATGAATTCAGCGAGGTATACATACCAACTTCCTTCTGAAGGCGTCGAAGCCTTGCCAGCTTTTCATTGGCTGTGCATTCCTCCAACGCCGACTCAAGATTCACCCAGAGTTGCATTTCCAGGTCACCACAACCTAGTCCCAGTTACTGGTGTCAGTCAGTAAAAATTTAAAATTCTAGCCTGGCCACTTTCTCATTGTGTGGCCTTTGGCGGACCTATATTAATTTTCTTAACTGAAAACGAGAATATGTGGGAAGCGTTCAGCAAATGTTTGGCACATAGAATATCCTTAAGGAACGATTAAGTTTTGGGAAAGTTTGAAGAATCTCAAACCATGAATAACTCATAAATAAGCTGACATCTACGTACTATTCATAAAACAAATTGATGAAGTATGAATTGATTGATAAACGACTTAAAATTTTATTTAAATAAAAAGTATTTACTGCACGAAAGGATTCCTCTATAACTTTCCAAAATTGTTCACCTCTAATTGCATTCAAATCTTCCTAAAACATGGCTTGTGTTGTATTACTCTCCTACTCAGACGTTGTCATCTTTCTCTGTGCTGGCTGGACACTGGGGCCGCCTCTATAGCCTGGCACCCTGGGTCCACGACAGAGACAACCCCGCGCATTTATGAAGCTCTTCTCATCACATCCCTGCTGCAGGCACGTTGGTCAACCTGCTCGTCTGAAAAGCATGCTCTGTCATCCAGAGACGGGGGCCATCCTGTTTCTTCAGCCACCGGACTTGGAAGAAGTTAGTCACTAGAAGGGGACTGAGAGGAGGATGGGCTGAGTGGAGACAGGCCCCTGGATGAGGGGTGGACACGAATAGGGGTCAAGTGGGGAAGGTGGGTCGTTCCCAGCAGGGGGAACAGCCAGAAATGACTGCCGGTAATGAAGAAATGAATGCAAAAGCGAGGAAATACAGCTACAAGAGCAACAATTTTGTCGAGGGGTCAGAATCCTACATGTTTTCATGGCCCATAATCTCTAGCCGCCCTGGGTGGGGTCTGCCAGTCCCGCTTGAACATTCTCCTGTTCTGCACTGTAATCTTCTTAGGCCACTCTAACGCTTCAGTAAAGACAGTAAACACACTGTCTTGTGCCAATTGTGTTTGAGAGAATAAAGGAAGGGACCTAGGAGGGGTGAAGCTGACTTAGAAAAGGGGCCAGTGCAGAAAAGTCTGGATCATCAACAGCGAAGCCTCAGTAGTATGGGAAAAGCTAGGGCGGTGACAAGCCAACCTCAACCCCAGTGCAAACAGTCTGTAGTGCAAACAGCAGGAGAACGTCGGCATCTGCCAAAAAAAGAGAACAACAGAAAAAGGCCACTTACTTTCCATGAATCTTCTTAGACTCTATGTCTCCATGGCTTCCAAAGAGTAAAGCCCAAAAGGCAAAAAAACCTCTCTTATCAGGTGAGGAGAGAGCATCTCAGACAGGAGGAGGTTTGAGAGAATAAAGGAAGGGACCTAGGAGGGGTGAAGCTGACTTAGAAAAGGGGCCAGTGCAGAAAAGTCCCAAAGGAAAATTCCCATTTTCCCTGTTGGCTTTCCCCTCTGTCTCCCCGCCCCTCACACCCTCCCTGTCTCCCTTGTAATTTGTACTCTGTTTTGTTCTCTCCTGTGAAAAAGAAGGCCCTGGATGTTAGACCTAAAGTCATTTTGACATTATCTAGAAGCAAACTCAGGGCTCCCATTTGTCCCCTGCTCCAGTCATTCACTGTGTAACCTGGTCTTGGTGTCGCCTTCCCGCTGAAACAGTCCAGGAGTCTATGCTGATTTTGCAAGAATAAATAGTTGTGGTTCAAATCTCTTGCTCAGTTTTTCAGATCTGGAGATTTTGCCACATAACCTTTCCAATGCCAAGAATTCATGCCCCTGAGGCTTTCCTCTCATCATTTAAGATTTTCAGGAAGATAATTTAGCCTCAGTACTGGTTGCCAGATTGACAGCCTTAAAAACAAGAGGTGAAATCCAATCTGGATGGAGCCTGTGCCCATTGTCTATTTTTAGGGAAAAGATTATTCACCCATATGGCTAGCTGGGAATAGAGTGGGGGTGGCGTAGAGATTTAAACTGGCCTTGACCCTAAATCTCCTGCTCTCGGTGCAGGGGGAGGGGAGGCATGGAGGGTGGAAGGGACAGGAATTGTTCTCAGTTTGGGAGGCGTGCAACCCAGAGTTTCCCAAAAACAATTGGATACTTTGCAGAGTGATAAAAATAATCCTTCCTTCTAAAAATAGCCCCCCTGGAACAAGAGGCCTGGATTTAATTACAGTCACTATGTACTCAGCATGTACCAAGGTACTGAGGCCTGAGCTGCTTCTTTGCAGATATCACCTGGTGCAAACCTGCTCTGACCCCATGAAGCAGGTACCTCTATCCCTGGGGAGAAACAAGCACATTGAGGGTCTGAGCAGAAAATCAAAGCCAGCTCATCACTTAACCTCAATGGTTTCTGTTTTCCTCAAATGTCCTCAGCCAGATGTTCCCACATCTCATGTCACAGCAGAATAAATGGAGGAGCTTTAAAATAAATGAATAAATGAATAAATAAATAAATAAATAAATAAATAAATAAATAAATAAATAAATAAATGTATGTCAACTCCTGGGACCTGCCTCAGTCCTGCTAAACCATGAAGTTGGGTAGGGGCAGAAATATTTTTTTTAAGTTCCTGAGATGATTCGGATGGACGGGCCAGTTTGCGAACGGCTGTCTGAGCTGCAGATGGGGACAGGGTGATGTCAGGAGTGCTCGAGGCATGCCACCTCCCTGTTCCTTCAGGCTTGGGCCCTCCGTGTCCTCTCGTTACTCTCTCAATCCCTCCACTGAGCCAAATTCCCTCTGACCTCGGAGCTGTCCAGTCCACCCTCCCGTCTCTACTTGGATGTCCCCTGCTCATGGAAGTCAACCCTGTCCACCTGAAGAGTGTGACAGGTCTCTGCTCTTTTCTCTTAGAACACAGCACAATCTGTAATTACACATCATGGGAATCTAAAAAGTTGGTGGTGGTCTCATCTGTTAGTAAGCGCCATGAAGGTGGGGAAGAAGTCCATTCCCCCCCAAATTGTACCTCCTGGGCCTTTGATACCTGAAAGGGTGGGGGCGAGTGACAACCTGGGAGGATTCAGAAGCCAGGGAAGGGGAGCGGAATTCCAGTCCTGGTTTTCAGCTAATTACCTGCACGACAGTTTGGCAAGCCCTCCTCCTGTCTGAGATGCTCTCTCCTCACCTGATAAGAGAGGTTTTTTTGCCTTTTGGGCTTTACTCTTTGGAAGCCATGGAGACATAGAGTCTAAGAAGATTCATGGAAAGTAAGTGGCCTTTTTCTGTTGTTCTCTTTTTTTGGCAGATGCCGACGTTCTCCTGCTGTTTGCACTACAGACGCACTGTAAATGTGTTTCTGCGTGAACTTCTGCATGTTCCTGTGAGGTTTTGTGATCTTCCAAGTGAACAACCTGGCAGTGCCAACATTGGTACCGAAGAAAAGAACTGCTGGAGAAGTCTCATTCAAGGTTCAGTGATAGTGGGAAACATGACCACGTCTGTGAGTCCACACGGCAGGGACTCAAACAAGGAAACTTCTCCCACTCGAGTCGTAAAATCATTGTTCCTTCTTTGTAATTGTTTTTGGCATTCTGCTAACAAGCACTGACAGAATGACTCGTTGATCTAGTTCGGTCTTGTCTTCTCTGTGTGAATACGGTTGTGTGTATTTGTGGATTTGTGTTAATCCTCCACGTAGTATTTCCAAATAACAGTGAAGACGGAGTTACTCTTCTAAAGGGCTTGCTCTCATTGTCAGCCCTGGGGGTTTGTCCTGGGAAGCCTATCAGGGCTGAAACTTCACCAGCAGAGATAGAAGAGGTTCCGTTTGCCCTCTTGTCAATCCAAGCCCACGTACTGGGAGCATTAAGAGAAAAGCAGAAAGAGGACGTACGTTGAACGTATTGATGTCCTTCGGTTTTGTGGATCTGTTGAAACTCGCTGCTATGGCTGGTTTGGTTGGTGGTGGTTATTATCTTGGATTTGTGGGCTCTGCACTTGCTCCTAAAGCAGTGTGTTTGTCTGTGTGTACTGATGGCTGAATTCCCATGGGAGGGGTGGGCAGCCCTCGCTGCTGCTGACAGGTCCAACCCCAGCCTTCCCCAGGTGTGCTCACCACGGCCCGCAGAGCACGTAAGGGCACAGCTATCTTGATTCTGTTTTGCAAGTGCTATCTTTGTGTTTCCTCATTTTTCTTGATAGTGTTCTTGTGCCACCATCACTAGGACCCGGCGATTGTGCAAGGCAGACGATTTGCCTTTATTTGCAAAACACGGAATTGCGATGGATTATGGGACTGTGCCGTTCCCACACAGGGACTTTCAGGAGGGCGGAGTAGCTAGTAGCTGTAACTCAAAGAGACTGTCTTTGGTCTCTGGTTCTATAAATGTTCTAGAAAAAAGTAATGCTTCGGAGACTCATTTGCATCATGGTAGCAAAATTCAGTATAACAGTATAACAAAATTCAGTTCTTCAATAATCTAAAATAAGAATCTAAATACAGGCTTGTTTTCTTCATTTTCACAATGAGGAACTTTGCCATGTTCGTTTCACCACAATTCCAGCAAGTACCTGCCCATAGCCCATTAGAAGGATCAACTTGCCTCACATACCTCAGGGAATTCAGCTGATAAAATCAGTTGAAATAACCAAGAAGTCAAATGCTAATGTTCTAAAGCTCTGCTTCCCTCTCTTTGTCGCATGTTGTACTACATAATGAAAAGATGTCCAAGATGTCAATAAAGTAATAGTATTTTTTATGGTGGCATGCAAAATAAAGTAAGCTGTCTGTGATAGGTATGGCCTATGTTTTTGAGTTTTATGGACTACTAGAAACTAACACCATAGAAAAACAGTTTAATTTAAGCGTGTTCATGCAAATCTGAGGAGGCTTAAAAAGACATTAATCCTTGAGACAAAATGTCTGGTTCACTTATGCTCCATATGCTGTACTATCCTTGCGGAAGCTTTCACAGCACTGGATGGCTGGTGTCAGAAATCCGTGACAGCCCACGACGAGTCTTATATAGTACACGGTTAAGAGTATTATATTGCTGTAAATTTGGTTTGGTAAAGCTTTGCTTGATTTAGAGGTTAAGAAGTGTTCTCTTTTCAACGAAGTAATTTCCATGGTGAAATGGTTTGGAGTGAAGTGACATAAAACAATTATTTTCATCTAAAAATCTATTATATCACAGCTGTAATTCGAGGAGAGAATGCTGTGCTTTGGTCTGATTAGTTTAGAGATTTGGTGATTTTTCCTGGGCACGTTGTTCTACTTGGAGAGGTCACACATCTCTCGGCCACGTACACAAACACATGCCTTCAGCCTCATACAACTTTGCTTCCTGTCACTTATCTTTGAGGCTGATTTCCAGGCTTTTCCACTAGGGTAGAATGTACCTCCTCTTCCCTGAACAGCAGCCCCTCCCCCCACTGCCACCAAGTCCACGTCCTCAGAAAACGAAACTAAAGACTCCACTGTGCAAATCCTCACGATCGCCCATCTCACATGACAGTTCTTCACCTCCAGGGAGACCAAGCTAAGAGACTCAAGTTAATTTGTTTGAAATCTCTAAGTCAAATACAAGCAAAACCCCCCAAAATGAAGAGGAGCAGTTACACGATAGAGGTGCAGAATATTCTTTCTCAGGTCGGCAGCCGTGTTGAGCAAGCCCTGGATCTGTTGGCCCAGGAAGCCCAGCTACAGAGGTTAGCCCCCCAGGTACCCTCCGGGGCTGGGCTAAACTGTCTGGCTACTCCATGTCTTGTATGTTTGATGCCTGTGGCCTAAACACATCTGAAACCCCTAATTAATGCAGAAGATCCCAAAGGGGCATTGCCACAGAAGCCAGGGCCTGGGGCCGGACTATCTGAGGGTTGTTTTCCATGATCTCTAGTGTTGCGCTGTCCTCATGGCTGAAATTCCACAATGACAGATTCGACCTTCCTTCCCTGGTATAAAGTTATCCTCGCTGAGAGAAAAATGATACGTTGGGTCATTCCTTCAATCCAGCGCCTCACCGTTATGCTGAGGAATGATAGTCATTGTTTCAGATACCTCTGTGTCCTGCCATCTATCAACCTGTCCCCAAACTCTGTCTCCAAGTTCCCTGATTCTTTTGAGTAATTCGGGTCCCAAGATTTGGAAGACAGCTCAGTTAAGAGAAAAATTCTCAACCATAAAAAATTTAAAAAAAAAAGGAAACCCAAAGCAATTAAAGCTTTAATTTTTTATGATCCATGTTTCTATAAATGTAAATGACTAATAGACATCATGAAATATTAACCAAGTCAGTAATCCAGGATTACGTATGATGTCAAATTACTCCCTATTGTCAATGAAAAAGCTATCAGGCAGCAGTTTCTGAAAACAAACACAAGCTTCCAGATGTCCCAGCAGGGGAATGAAAGTGCGCTCAAGGCCTCATTTTTCATAAGGGCCAGTCTTGAAAGGATCAGAAGGCAACTCTGGACTCCATGGCAGGGCAGAAAAGAGGGTGGGGTCAGGAGGATGGGAGTCAGACCTACAGGAAATCTATACGGGGCTGTGATCTGATGTAGCAGGTGTCTTTGTAGAGGGGACACCTCTAACCAGGATTAAATTCTGGAGCCAAATGTGTTCATATATCAGTGGGTTGTATCAAAGGGGAGGCCCTGCTGCAGGTTCAACTTGTTTTATTATTTTCTTTACTTCAGCAAAATAGGTAATGGGCCCCACTCACACTGTAGTGAGTGCTGAGAGTAGTCTTAGAGGCATGAGTGCGGCCTCTGGAAGGGGTGTTTGGAGCCCTGGAAGTCACAGCATATGGCCTCCTATAGTAGGCAGGCTGTCCTGGGAGAGAGAATTCATTTAGAGGAAGGCGACATGTGGCCCTGCATCCCAACTACTTGGAACCAGCTTCAGCCCTGGGAAGAGGTCAAGCACGTGGAGCAGAGACTAGGGCACCCTTGTTTGGCTTAGTGCCGAGGGTGTGTGATTGTCTTCCCTAAGAGAACCAGTGCATCTTGGACAGGCTTCCCAGCCAGCAAAGGGGCTTCTCAACAGGGGTAGACAGAGCTGGGGTATAGTCTTCAACAGCGACACCACATGTCGGAGAGGAAGACCACCAGAACTGAATGGATTGGCTCTAGTTCTCTCTTCTGCCGGAATTTGGAAGCTGGGCTAATCTACTTTGAGGACAGTTAGGGATGGACAATAGTCTCAATAAGGAAATACACTCTGATCATAGGGTATATGGTATGAGCAATTATTTTGTGGCAGAAACTGTTGTCTACTGACCCAACAATCCTTCTCTGGAAGAGCCTTTTCTGGAAGAACCCACCTGCCATGACAGAGACTTAAAATGCCAAGTGCTCACTCTCCCAGACAGTCTTGGTATGTGGTCCAGTTTTGGTCAAAAAGACCATGGGATGATTTACTAGGAGCTTGAGGGGAGATTTTTTCCTCCTGATAAAAAGAGAGGAATAGGCAAAGAAAACTTTCCTTTTTCTTTCTTGTCTTAAACACAGTTTGAGTGTGGACATGATATTTGGAGCTGTGGCAGCAATATTGTGACCATGAGGGAAAGGCCAGGAGAATCACATATAAGTCAGCCCAGAACTCTGACACTACACAGCCACCAAACCAACTACCTACTTCAGGACTTCCTGTTAGGTGAGAAAATGCCTTCTCCCTTGATGAGTTTTGTTTTGTTTTTGTTGGGTCTTCTAGTTTTAGCTGAAAACACTTCCATTGACTAGTAATGTCTTTGGTTGTAAATGACAGAAAACCCAGCTAACCCTGGCTTAAGTCATAGGGACATTTACTGTTTACTTAACAAGAACCGTAAAGGTAGGTGATCCAAAGGTTGGTTCATTGGCTCAGCTATATCATCAAGAACTTGGAGTCTTTCCATATGTTTTCAACAGATGTTGACCTCTGATTGTTGTCTCATTTTTGCAAAATGGCTGCTGCAGCTCCAAACATTCCATCCTGGCATAGGATGGGATGGGAAGAGAAGAGCAGAAAGGGACGCTTCTCCCCAGCTACCTGTTATCAGGGCAGAATATCTTTCCCAGGATCATATGGCATCCATAGACCAATCACTGGCAGAAAGGAATGACAACAGGCATTATCGGTTTAAACCAGGTACTCTTGGGTACCTGCTCTTTTCTTCTTCCTCTGCTCTTCGCCTTTATCAGCATGGTCACTGCCTTTGCTTGCAGCCATCAAAATGGTTTCTTGGTGATATTCTATTTTTTAGGTTTCTGTTGAAGATCAGAGATTGGTTGCTACGGTTTGAGCTTCACTCTATCAGTTGGGCCCATCACAGATTGTATGTTCCCCACTCCTAACTATTTGCTGATGTTTTTAGGGCAAACAAAAACAAAAGCAAAACCACAACTTCAAGGGGCTGCTTCCATTGGCTTTTCCCCAGCCAGACCCTAGAGCAGTGGTCCTTAACAAGGGCTGAGCTTGCACATACACCCCAGTGGACTTGTGGTAGTATTTGGAGACATTTTTAGCTTTCACACCTGGGAAGGTGGTAATGTTACTGGCATCTACTGGGTAGAAACGAGGGGTGCTGCTCAACATCCTGTGTCCAGGGCAGCCCCCTCCAACAAAGAATTATTCAATCAAACATGTCAGCAGTGCCAAAGTTGAGAAGTTTGGCCCCAGAGGGTGGCCAGGCCAGAAAACCATCTTTCCTCCTTAATGCCTCCTTGCTCGTGCCTCAGACCCTCATAAATAAGAAGAGTGTCCCTGTTCTATGCCTTAGGACACCAATGTGCCCCTGGGCCGTAGCAGTGACCAACTAAACACCACGAACACAGTAATTGTGTTAATTCACTAATTAAATAAACTCCTCTCTTCTGAGTCTATTTTCACTTTCGGACAAATTGCAGCAATCACTGCATGACTTTTGTACAAAATTACAAAGTGTTGCAGCTTTGGCAACAGGGTCTCCAACTGCCATTGCATCAGAGACAGGCTCTGTGGGAGGAATGTGACAGATTCATTCCACTTCTGTTGAAGAGCTTTGGAAGTGAGCGAAAGGGCAGCATAGAAACGTTCTAGAACTGGGACTTGGGAACAATTATTTTCTGGGGCAGGTTTTACCCACCCCTGCCCACTTTCATTTTATTTCCACCAGCTCGAACGAGTACTTGAAGTTACCTTCTCTTTAGAGTTGTCATTCCTTAATTTTCTCTCTTGTAATATACCTTCCTATTCTTACCCCTTTTTCATGCGAAAAGAGAGAGAGAGAGACAAAGCAAGGGAAGGGAAAGAAATCCTGCACATGAGCAGGAGTGTCTTCTTTTCAGTGTTGGAGTTGGCTGTTTCAGGAGACATTTCTGAGTTTTCTCCTAAAGTAATCATTCCAGCGGGAGACCATAAGAAGGTAAGGCAGAGCGTTGGCCGCTGTTATGAAGAGCTCCCCATGCCAATACAATGTCATAAATCAGTTAGAAATTTCTCTCTTGTGTAACTAACTGTCTGAGTAGGCAGTCTCAGGCCGGCAGAGTGGCTCAGGGGTGTCCAGGCCCCGGGCCCCTTTGCTCTGCGCGCTGCTCCTACCTCATTGTCAAGACTGGCTGCGCCATTTCCCATTGTCACCCCCACATTCTAGCCAGCAGGAGCGGAGCCTTGCCCTCCCCTTCGAGGGCCACTGCCTGCAAGCTGTACTCAGTACTTCCGCTCGAATCCAGTTGGCCTGAACTTGTTACTTAGCTACATCAAGCTGCACAGGGTGGGGAGTGGAAAATGCGGTCTTGATTTGGGGGGCCCAGCCTGCTAGCTACAATGTGAGAGTTCTATTACTAAAGTGCTTGCTAAGTGTCATGCTCCGTGTTGGGTTTTACAAGGATTACTTAAGTAGTCCTTACAATAAAAATAGATACTCTTCTAGTCTCCATTTTACAAACGAGGAAGCTGAGGCACAGAAAGGCCCCACCCTAGCGGCAGACCCTTATTTGTTAAGGGAGTGCTGGTGGGGGACATGGGAAGGGGGAGAGGGACAGGATGGGGAAGAGGGAGGAAGCTGGCAAAGGCTCCATTTCCGGCAGAGTCCCAGCCCCAACCTGATCCTGCTCCTGCAGAAAGTTCTGGAACATGAGTTGAATCTTGGAATTTTCCCTTGAGGCAAGGGAGCTGGGCATTCATACCCACACTAGTCAGGTGCTGGCGGTCACCCCGGAGGGGATACCCAGATGCTCCCAGCGCTTTGCACCTGCTGCCCAACCAACTCCAGGAGCCCAGGGGTAGTTCTCTGAAAAGGATCCCAAGGATGAGCCCTGAGAGCAAAGGTCAGGAGTGAGGTGGGCACACAGAGTCGGTAGCAGGAGCTGAGGGGATCTTGGCGGACACTGCACAGTGGCACCTCCCTGCACGCCCTCCTGGCACCTGGTTAAAGAAGTCCCAGGAGCAAGGCCACTTGTCAGACTTTCGCAAATGAGCAGCCAGTCCTGCCTCCCCAACCCCCCACACATACCATTTTAAGTGGTCACACATGGACGCTGTTTGCTCTGAAAAATGCTTCATTAAGTCACTCAACAAATATTTATTGAGCACCTTCGATATGCTGGGCTCTGGTTAGGGGCTGGGCATATAAAGACCAATAAGACAGAGTGATCCATTCCCCGCCCCCCCCCCCCCCCCCCCCCCCCCCCGGAGTTCACAGGCTGCACGACTACAAAGGCCGAAAAATGAATTGATTTTTAGATTCAGAATAATCAATGTCCTAGCTACCTGCTGTGTTCAGGGCTTTCAGAGGTGAGAGAAGCAGAAAACATTTGGCGGAAAGGGTGGCATTTGATTCTGGGTTTTAAAGGATGAACAAGAGCCCTTTTGAGCAGCGTGTGCAACACCATGGAAGTGAACAAGCTGAGTCTGTGTTGTGGGCCATGGGGAAGTTGTTGAGCGAATGAGGGCGTGAAGGAATTAATCAACGAGTTGTCCCAATGCTTGGTGATTCTCAGGGGGAGAGAAGATGTCATTGTTGTGAGTAGATTTCCGCCCAAACGGCACAACCCTCTCCCTCTCATCCTCTGGCCCCCCCAGGAGATTCTGGCCCACCCTTACAGGGCCGGAGACTCTAAACGGGAACACCTGTTACCGTCAGGCGTGAGGGGCAGACGGAAAAGTGGAGAACGAGCACTGTCGGCGTGGAAGAGTGTTCTTTTTCTTTCTATCCTTGTCCAAACCTGACTGACCTATAACTTGGCTGCAACATTACCTCATGAAGATAGAGAAGTATCAGGAAGCTTCACCTTCCCCCACTTGAAACCAGGGGAATAAGAATAGTTTGTCCTGGTCCCGAAATTACTTCAAGACTTGTAGGCCTTCAGGATAAAACATAAATGTAATCTCCCCTGTCCCAGACCAAATGTCCTCAAGGTCAGGTTCACGATCCCATATGAAGTGTGAAGTGCAGTGAGTCATCGGGCAGGGGCCAGGGCCTGGGGTGTGGGGCTGCTCTAAACACCTGCACCACCAGCCAGCCCTTGCACAATTAAAGACCCCAAATATTTTTTATTGATTAGCTTGATGAGGCCATTGGTTTGACGACAATAATATAAATCAAGGAAAAGACCCTACATTTTCAAATAAAATAAGAAGAAACTGACTGAACAAAACAAAACGTATGTTCTAGATCTTTTGCTCCCTCCAGCATCATTGCTTACACCCTCTTTCTGTGTCAGGAGAGAGGCTCCTGTGAAATCTCACCCTGCAAATCCGCAGGGTCTTTTAATTTCATACTCTCTGCCCAGCGCCCTATAGAAATTGCTTCCTCCAGAGTCTCCTGGGGACTCACACGGGGTGAAAAGACATTAAAAACAGATACCTCCTTTGATAGTGAAAGAGAATAATCAGCTGCAAGTCTTGGGGTGGCCTCCGCTGCCCTTGGTCTCTGTCCCCAGATGTGCTGGGGGGAGCCCCCGAGGCTCGCAGAGCCCTTCAGGTCCTAGGGTAATTTAGCGGGAGGCAGCTGGCAAATGGAAAGCCTGATTAGGATGCTGTCAGACTAATCTGTTGGTTCCAAGTGTCACATAGCTGTGGCTAGGAATTGGAAAGAATATTATTTTCTTTCTGAGAATTTGCTGTTTGGCCAGCTTTGGGGGAGGAATTTCATTCAGGAGGTGGGGGGTGCCTGTTTATGGAGTTATTGTGGTTTCCTCGCACGTGCTCATTTAATACTCCCACCCACACCGTCCTGCATAGTAGTTGCAATTGTTCCCATTTTATAGATGTTTTACAACTGTTATTGCTTAGGTGCAAAAGGGTTATGAACTTTTAACCTTCATTTTGCACCCAGGCTTCCCTGACTTGAAAATTTCTACCTTCCTTCCTAATGCTACCTTAAATTCAAATTAAACCTTTTTTCAAGCATCAAACATTTCCACACTCACCCCCTCCATTGGAAGTAGGAGCCTGGGTTTGCTCTCTGTTCCTCACTCATCTAATCCTTCTTAGGCAGAGGACAGGCTTGGAGAAAATAGAAGAGGACCCCAATCTCTAATCTGCAATTCTTGGGGCAGATATGTTTCAAAATCAGAAATTAAAATTTGGATTTTATAAAGGAATTATAATGATGTCCTGTATTACATAGTACCTGGTAGCATCTGGGGAAGGCACCCTGAAATGAATCACGCTAATATTTCTGCAGTGAAATATTCACACCGAGGGGGATAGATATAGATGATGAAGAGTTGCGTATGAATTTAGGTCGGGTTTTTGCTACCAAGTTAAAATTGCCAAAGGTTTTCTGAGCCTTTGGGATTTGGGAATCACTCTAAGGGCTGGTGGACTTGTAGATTATATTTAAGGGCTCTTCTGCTCATATAAATCCTCTGCAGATGAACCTGGCAGGGAAGGGCACGAGCAGCACCTTGGTCTGGAGCCCTTTCAGCTGTGGCAAAGGAGGAAAGCCCACTCCCTGGGCATTTCCAAGACACAAGAACGAGGAGCAAGATGTGCTGGGCTCTCTCGCTGACTGCCAGGCTGACGCGTGTTCCTTAGGGAAAGTACTGCACCTCCCTGGTCTACTAAGTGGGGAGGGGGCAGAGGGGAAGCCTCGGATGCTGCCGGTGGTCCTGTGGAGGTCTGAGACCCACTGTAAGCCTGTATGAACCTTCGGACCAGGGCTGAGCCTCCCAGCCCTCTGTGCCCTGGGCAGGCATTACGCACCACCGCCACCGCACCCCCCCCAAACCGATTCATCACTGTCTGAGGGTGTGGGGTGTGGGGCTTGACTGCCTGGGTCAGAGTTTGAGCCACTAGGCACCAGATCAGTTGGGACCTGATGACTTATCAAAGTGTCTGTTTCTTTCCAGATACTGAACGTCATAATAACGGCACCCACCTTACAGAGTGAGTGAGAGGCTCAGTGGAGCTGGTGCATGTTCAGCTCGGTGCCTGGAACACACAGGCTGCACATTACATAACAAATGGCTTATACGACTCTTACCACGGAGATCAGGCCTGTGTCAGTGTCCTGGGGCTGCCATCACAAGTTACAGCAACCTGTATGGCTTACAACAACAGAAATTGATCGTCTCACAGTGCTGGAGGCTCCAAATCTGAAATCAAGGTGAGTAGGGTTGATTCCTCTTGGAGGCTCTGAGGGAGAATGTCTGCCATGCCTTTCTTTACCTTCCGGTGGCTGCTGGCAAGGCATTCCCTAGCTTGTAGCCAAGTCACTCCCGTCTCTGACACCATCTTCATGTGGCCGGCTTCTTTTGTCTCTGTGTCAGATCTCTCTTTCCTTTCTCTTCTAAGGGCACCTATCATTGCATTGCGGGCTCACTCTAAATCCAGAACGATCTCATTTCAAGATCCTTTACTTAATTACCCTGCCAAGACCCTACTGCCAAACAAGGTCACATTCACAGGTACCAGGGGTTGGGACTTGGACATATCAACTGGACCGCCTCCAGGGTTAGGCACAAAGTTTGCAGGGTTGGACAACTGGTTGACCATGCCCCCCCCCCCCCGCCGCCATGTGATGGTGGATTGTTAGCCAACCCCTGTGGGGTCCCTTGACGGGGAACCCTTGTGTACAGGAGCCATTGTGATGTAGTGTAAAGGGTAGGGGTTTTGGAGTCTGGTGGATCTGGCCGCAAGCCCTCGGACACTGGGCCGGTTCACTTCATCAGAGTAAGGCTCAGTTTCGTTATCTCTGAAATGGGCATCATAAACCCTATCTCAAGCTGTTCCAGTGAAGCATACAGACAGATTTACAGCATCTAGCCCATAAAGCCCTCTGTAAATGGGATTCCCCTTCTCTTCCTCCCACGTCCTTTGATCTGATGACATGAAAGCTGTCGGTGCCTAGACTCTTCTTTGAAATCTGGGGCTGCAATAAGGCCCACGCACCCTTAAAACACTTCAGTGCCAGCCATGGTGTCATTGGAGGGGTCTTCTCCAACGCCAAGTGGCCTTCAAGGCCCAGGTCTGTGTTTCCAACAATAAGTGGCTGGTTCCTGGGAGCCCACCTGTCAACTACCAAGTGCTGAGGAATCTCCCTTCAGAAATACTGTTAACAACCCAGCCCACACCCCCTTAGCTTTTCCAGTGCCGAGAGGACTTCAGACCCTAAAGAACATGTGAAGATCATTGTAAAACCATGCAAGACAAAACAGGGTCTGGGCAGATTCCTTAAAACCCCATGCTGTCAGGGCGCCTGGGTGGCTCAGTTGGTTGAGCGACTGCCTTCGGCTCAGGTCATGATCCTGGAGTCCCGGGATCGAGTCCCGCATCGGGCTCCCCGCTCGGCAGGGGGGTCTGCTTCTCCCTCTGACCCTCTTCCCTCTCGTGCTCTCTGTCTCTCATTCTCTCTCTCTCAAATAAATAAATAAAATCTTTAAAAAAAAAAAAAATCTAAAGGGAGACTTGAGAAACCACTTCAGTCAAGGGCGAGGGATCCCAAATTATTGTTTGACCGTGACTTTATTCTAAGTAAGAATGTTAACTGCATGTGAAGTGTGAACACTTTGCTCCTGTTTTGGCTTCATACCTTTATTTCCTGAGGCTCTGCCCATGACATTCTGGCGTTTTCCCTTGATTATAAGAGGCTCATGGGGCGCCTGGGTGGCTCAGTCGTTAAGCGTCTGCCTTCGGCTCGGGTCATGATCCCAGGGTCCTGGGATCGAGTCCCGCATCGGGCTCCCTGTTCCACGGGAAGCCTGCTTCTCCCTCTCCCACTCCCCCTGCTTGTGTTCCCTCTCTCGCTGTGTCTCTCTCTGTCAAATAAATAAATAAAATCTTTAAAAAAAAAAAAACAAAAAACCCCACGCTGTCATAGACACAGCTCACACGGTAAAGGCCATTCCCACCTGGCAAGGCTTACGGCCAGAACACTTTGTCTTGTCCTTCTGAGACAAGAGTCCCACGGTGTGGCGAAGCCCCCAGCACGGGTGGGTTGGGAAGGCTGTGCCATGTCCACGCGTGACGGGTCTCACCCGGCACTAACAATGCCCCGGTGCCCTGCTTCGTCTCCTTGGAACATACTGACCTTTCCTTTCCCGACTGACTGTTACGACACAGGGCCGAGGTTTCAATTTCTGCAGAAGGTGGTGGAATATCTCCTTGGCGCACCAGGTCCTGCATTTTAACTCTGGAGCTAAGGATTTAATTCTTCACTCATAGTAGGTGCCAAACAGTAAGTTCTTGTGTATCGCAGTTTGTTTTAATTTTTGTCACAAGACCTTAAAGAATACAGAGGGATGCTACTTTTTCCCGTCGGAGGCGAGGCATGGAGAGGCCGGATGGATGTCCTTGGCACCCCAGCACCTGGGGAACCTTGTCTCCACTCCACCGTAGGAGGCAGTTTGGCTGGTGGGCACTTGCTTGGGCTCTTGCACCCCGCCTCCCTTGTTCTGGGACCTGCTTTTTTCCAGATCTTCCCCAAATTTAACAGGTTTTTTTTCCCCAAAGGCAGAGGGCACCCTGACCCAGGAAGGCCCAGATGTCATTTCCTCCACCCACTCACTGTGGCTCTGTGTTCCTGAACCCCAAGCTCTTCGTGAACCCCCCAACCTTCAGGAGGTTCCCGCCACCCTTGGTGTCCTTGCCTGTGGCTGATGCTGAGCGGGCAGAGTATGCATAATCACACAAGAAGGATGCTAGGCTTGGCTGTGTAATGTTCTGAGGCACTAAGCAAAATGCCTTCAACATATTCTTCCAGTTAAAATTTATCCCATTTACAGGGAAAGAGCATGAGCCACAGAGAGGCCAAGAATAGGTTCTCTGGGCTCCAAGGTGGTGGACGTCTAATGGGGTCGCTAAGAGGGAAAGGGGCACTGGAGACTGAAGACTGATATTGCTCATAGATTTGGGTGATTGAGAAGAGGTGCGCCAGGAAGAAGGGAAAGGATGGGACAGACAAGTTGGCCAGGTGGCCCAGGGGTAGGGCCCCAGTGGTCAAGGCTGGGCAGGGGGTTCAGAATATGGATGAATCGGGCCAGGGCACAGCTAACCCCCTCTCCCCCAGTCATGGCCCATCACGCACACACCCTCCCCTCCTCGTCTGAGCAAGTCTCGCCCCCGGGATGTCACCTGACTCTCTTGATTGGAGATGCTCATCTTTTCAGTGGTATGGTAGGACCGGGGCTTACCGTGAAACCTGGTCATCCATTATTCTGCAAAATTACCATGTCTATCTCCTAATTTCCAGTGATTTCCTTCCCTTCCACTGGCTCCCCCTCTGTCCATATAACAGAAGGAGTGTGTGGATGGGCCGGGGGTCATGCCACCTCACCCCAGAGCGCTCTCTCTGCTTGTTCCACTCCTTTCCTAGATGCAGGTGTCTGCCACTGAAACCAGCCTGAGTGTCCATTCATGGAACTGACCGCTTAGCCAGTGGGATTCCAAGACAAAAAACACAGTCCCTGCACTCAAGGGAGGAAAGACACACAAAAGGGCACTAAAGGGAAAGAGCCAGGTCCCTCCCGTTTCCTAGGGAATTTGGGGCAAGTTAATGACAACAGAAATTTTTAGGGAGGGAACATCAATAAGTGTTAGTAATTATTATTAATATTAATTATGATTGAGTCCATGGGGATATCAGAATGACTTGGTGGTATTTCCCCTGTGGCAATAGAAATGCCTTTAATGGAAATACATTTTAGTTCGCACTCAAATCCTCAGGGTTTAAATCCTAACTCGGGAAAAGAAATGCAGAGCAGCATCCATCTGGGCACACTGATGGGCAAAAACACCAACAGTACCGCAACCAAGAACAAAAGCCCGGATCCAGGTCACTTGGGGGTGAAGACTGAATTCTTAATAATGTGGAAGTTGCCAATGATCGTGGAAACTCAGAGAAAATATACCCATCATTTGACATAAATTCTTATGTAGACTTCTTGGTTGCACTAAACTCCCCAGAACAGAAAATCCTCAATTCCGTGGTGGTTAATGCTACTTTGGGATATCTTTTTTTTTTTTTTCTTCCCCAAAATGAGGACAGGAACAGTGGCCATGGGGTTTTCTTTATCTGGTGATGAGTGACATCCCAGCCATCTGCAGGGAGTGGATGGCCTGTCACTGTGTGGGCTCCCGTGAGCACTTCCCTCCTGCCAGCCAGCCTCACCCGTGTGGTTCACACCTGCCACTGGAGTGACTGAGGCCGTGCCCAGGATGTGTCTGGACAGGCCAGCAGGAGGGCAGAGATCCCTGCGGATGTGAGGTCAGCACTTAGATGGAGGAGTCGGAATTGCAGAAAGCGTGTGACGCTGTGGGCAATCTCGTGGCTCCAGGTCTGGAGTGAGTGATCCGTCCACAGAGCACACGGATGGACATCGCCGTGCTAGATCTGCCGGAGACAGCACCACAGGCCCTTCCTAAGGATCTTATAGTCAAGATACGGAGAGAAAGCCCACGTGGTGGAGAAGACCGCTTTAGCCACCGGGTCCCCTCCCTCCTCACGAGAGCACCATGACAGACCTCGACCTGGTCTTGCTAACTCCCCACCCACTGTCCCCATCTCAGTCCATGCTCCTAGCAGACACCAGAGAGACCTACCTACACTGGCACTTCTCAGGCCTCAAGGTGCTTACGACTGTCCTGGGGATCAAGTTGAAGTGCAGGTTTCCTGAGGTTCTGCATGTCTACCGAGTTCCCGGCTCAGGCCAAGCCTGCCGCTCAGTGCAAAAGCAAGGACCGAAAGCCCAGCCAAGAGTTAAAAGCCTGTGCTCTAGAGTACCAGCACTGTGACCTTCGGAAAGTCCCTCGGTCTCGCCGTCCCGTTTCCTTCTGTGTCAAGTGTGACGGTGGTGGTGATTACGTGGCTCCGTGACGGAACACGCCCAGGCCACTGCCCGCTCGTGGTGCGCGCTCGGCAGTCTGTGCGCATAGCTCACGGCTCGCGGTGTGGCAAGCCTGCCCTGCGTGCCCAGATCACCCTCGTGCCCTGCGCTCCTCCACGCTTTTGCTTTGCCCTGGGTCGTGAATGCCCTTTTCTCCCCCCCAACCCCCCACCCCGCCCCGACCCGGCAACGTCTGCATTCTTCCAGGCTCCGAGACCCCAGAGCCCACCTCCCGGGCGGCTGTTTAAATGTGTAAGTAGCAGCTCCCCCGTGAGCTCCAGGAGGCCAGGAAGTGTTCACCCTTTGGCATCCCATCTCGTACATCATCCAGCACACGCTGGGTTTCAACAGAGGACGAGGGAATGGATGACACGACAGATACTTCAGGCCCTTCTATAACTGCTCTGCCTGGAAGTGCTGGGCTCCACTCTAGATCTATGGAGGCAGCATTTCAGTGGGTGAATCTCTGGCATGGGACAAGAGCCTTCTCTTAGTTATTTACTTGTTTAGCTAATTATATGAGTCTGGACTAGTGGCTTCTTTTTTATTCAGTGGCTTATAAGACATCACTGTCACTATTTCTTGCGATGCTCAAATTGTCCCAGACTTAGCCTTCGATCTCGTGCCTGTGTCCTTTGGACATGTTCGCACCACTCTTTGAGTAATTCCTTGCTTTCTCGTGCAACAGGCCATTCCAGAGTCGTTTTGCGGTGTATTTCTTGCCAAGCACGACAGGTGATTCTGATGCACACCTGGGTTTGGAAGCCATCGTGCCTATCAGTAGCCTCAAATCAACATCGGGGTTAGCTCTGTTCCAGAGCCAGAACCTGTGGCAAATGGCAGGGACAATTCTTAGGCTGGAGCCGGGGAAGGGAGCTCAATGTCCCTAAGACTCCCAGGAAGCATCCCTGAGGACGGCGGGCTCACCACACAGGCACAGATGACTCAGCAGAGCTACCTGGCAAAGGATCCCAGGTACCACCTGCCCAGCCACTTACAGGTGGCAAAGGCCCAGAAGCATCTAAGGCAACAATTGAGGGAAACAGGAAGGAGGTGACACAAAGAAGGACTTACGGAGTGGAATGTGTTTCCCAACAGGTAGAGAGAAGTCGTCTTGACTTTACTGGTCTGCATGGGCCGGTAGGTCTGGGCCCCAGGAAGTCCCCAGGGGTGGAGCAAGCTGGCAGCTCCCATCAAGGAACACGGTGTGGTTTTCCTCGGAAGACAGCCAGGGTATCACAAACGCCTTGCACGAAACAGCATTTTCTTTTCCCAAGGAACACGAAGCACTTTCACAGATGGCTCATTTGTTTTCGACTGTTTTTCAGTGCAAAAACATTTGTACACCCTGACTAAACAGAGATGAAAAAATGTTTTTAAAAGACTTAGTAGTCTGTGCTACCTTGACAACTTTTCTCTGAATCTAGAATTATTACAAAACAAGTTCTTTTTTAAGACTCACCCTTTACAACATCATGGGAGAGAGAATAAAGCCCTCGGCCCCCACCATTGTTCACATCCTAATTCCCTGAACCTGGGAATATGTTACCTTACGTGGTGAGAGAGACTTTGCAGATGCAAGGAAGGTAAGCATCTCGAGGTGGAGAGATTATTTTGGATTATCTGGGTGGACCTATTGTAATTATAAGAGTCATTGTAAGGGTTAGGCAGAGGTATAGTGTTGGAAGCAGAGGGGTGTGTGCGTGTGTGTGTACAGAGAGAGAGAGAGAGATTGATTGAAACTTGAAGACAGCACCCTGCTGTCTTTGAAGATGGAGGAAAGGGCCACAAGCCCATCTCTAGAAACTGGAAAAGATAAGGAAACAAATTCTACCCTCAAGCCTCCAGAAGGAATGCAGGCCCAATCACCCCATGATTTTAAGAACCATCTCAGACGTCTGACTTCCAAAACTAAGATAAACTGGTGTTGGTTTAAGCAATTGCACTTGCGGTAATTTGTTATAGCAGCAATAGGGAACGAATACAAACATTAATTTAAAAATTCTTTTACAAAATTCTCCACACTGTTCTTCTATCAACCAGTTTGCTTTTCAGTCATATCCTATTCACAGGTCTGCGTCACAGTCATTAACTGTTCACATGAGAATGCAGCTCTAACAAAAATACCGTATTTCTTCCCCCATCTTGGAGCCCTCACCACCCACCTTTCTGTGGTTGCTACTGCTGTCCTTCTGCACCAATAAGGCCCGTTAGCTTGAGGTTACTTACTCGACATGAGCCTCATGCTCTGACACCACTAGCGTTTAATTGAGCATCTATTACTATCGTTTCCTTGAATACAAATACAAATGGGCATTCACTTGTGCAGGTGCCGTAAATATTCCCACATGC